GCACCTCAGCGCCAACTGCCCGTGTTTGGATGAAGTCAGCACGTCTTGAATGGTGTCTAAGCGACCTAAAAACAGCATCTACCCAATGCTCCCAAGTTACATATGATGCGAGGACAATTGGGTCAGATCCTAGCTGAAGAAGAGAAACCGGAATCTAAGGAACGGGAAGCTCTCCTTGAAAAGGCGAGGGAAGCTTTCAAAGAAGGAGTACGTTTCCCCCTTCATTTTACCTTTCGTTTATGACTAGTTTTAGCAGAGGGAGGCAAGCATTTAGGGTCTTGAAGCTCGCGAAACAAAGTGAGTAGTCTGTCAAATTGTGGTTCAGTTCGATGGGGGAAAAATTGCAGAACCCTGTCATTTTCGGTTATTTTTCTTTCCTTAGTCATTTATGTGCCCGTGAATTAAAGTGATAGAATCCCATGGAAAGTGAATAGCATGCCATTGGGTGGAAAATGTATTGTTAACTCTTGGTATCGAATGAAACGTACTTCATCTGAATAGATAGTTTGCTGCTTCTATTAATGCCCGCATTGTTTGCGAAACTTATCGATCAATAGCTTCAGCAGAAAGAAGTGTTGAGCCAATGTGTTGCAGCTGAACCGCGCTATGGGGAGGCATGGTGTCGAGTGAGCAAGGATGTTCGCAATTGGAGACTGCGCTCTGCTGACCTACTACCGATGGTGGCCGATTCTCTTCCTATTCCATCCTAAGCTCTTCACGAATTTGCTGAGTCAAAGTTTCGATTCCTCTTGTGTACACTCTTTCTGTGACTGTCTAATACAAAATTTATCTTACGTATGAGTTATACTTCTAACGATTTAGTCGTCCACTAGATTTCGAGACCGAATTTGATGAAAAAAGAAGTAGCCTATGAAGAGTGTTATTAGTATTATTTATTTGAGTGCTGGTCGGTGTCCCTGATTTGGAAATCTGCATTACTTTGACATTCGGACAAGAACTATTTGAGAGGGCTGGTTCTGTGTTAGTCCATTCTAATTTACGGAATCAGCACTTCGAAATGAGCTTGATTTAGACCTCTGTAAACTTCATTAGAAGTGACTATTAAGTTATTTCAAATGGCAGACAAAAAGATCCAAATTCAGAAAATCCTACAAACCTATGTTGTAGACATTTTCACTATTATGGAAGCAAACCTTTCTGATGGCAAACTAAAATACTACCAGTTCCCAGGTTACACCCTGTACCTTCTACCTAAATACCGGCAAACATTTCGGATGACAAACTGAAGTACTACCAATTCATATCATTTAGTGATGTAGCCATTTTCACAATTATGGAAGCTAACATTTCGGATGCCACACTGAAGTACTACCAATTCCCAGGCATTGTAGTGATGTAGCCATTTTCACAATTATGGAAGCTAACATTTCGGATGCCAAAACTGAAGTACTACCAATTCCCAGGTTACACCCTGTAGCAATCTACCTAAATACCGGCAAGTGGAATTCTGACTGGAGTAAAAGAAGGCCTCACCTCACATTACGATCTAATCAAAGTATGGGCTCGACACAAGACATATGCGAATTAATCGAATTAAATATTTGGAAATGTCAAAACCACTTCAAGATATATGCTGCCTATAATTCATCCTAGAAGAGTCTCAACTTTGACTTTCTGATCATCTCACACAAAACTGTAGTATAAGGAGGCTTCAACTCCCATTCCACGAATACAAACATAGCTGGAAAGGAAATCGAAGACATGCTAAACATCAACCTTCTGGATCTTATTTACA